TGGACTGATGTTGTACCTCCACCAAGAGATTGGGTGTTTAGAGGAGCGGGCCTCGGACTTGCCGATGAGGAGGCCCAGCTGGGATGTGTAGGCCCCCAGTTACCCTGGGCCCTGGGCCGAGGTAGACCCGTCGCATACCTTTCATTTACTGCTTGGTCTTTGGAAGAAATGCTTATCTCCAGTTAACTGGAAGGGAGACAAACTCAGGGTCAAAGAGCTTAAGGGCATTATCCGGTCGCCTGCCCCGGGAGAGCGAGCGAGACAGGACGGCAGGTCCCAGATCCCTCTGACCCCAGGGCTTAAGCAGAGTTAAGCTCACCGTCTTGGGGAGAATCCCAGCTGGACACCTTCTGTGTGCAGCTGACTTTCTCTGTGTCTTAGTTCCTGCCTCTAGAAAACAGGATATCAACCCTGTCTGCTTTCAGAGAGTTGTCTGACACATAGTTGTTGTTTAGTTGCTAAGCAGTGTCCGACTCGTATGCGGCCCCATGGATTGTCATCTGCCAAGCTCCTCTGTCCATGAGATTTCCCAGGCAAGAATAGTGGAGTGAGTTGCCACTTCCTTCTCCAGGGCATGTTCCCCGCCCAGGGATCAAACCCGCATCTCCTGCATTGGCAGGTGGATTCTTTACTGAACCACCCGGGAAGCCCGCTTCAGAGGGTTGGCTGGCATGTGGTATGGCCTCTTTAAAGGTTAGTTCTTATTATTACCAGACACTGTTGTAGAGGTTTACAAACAGAAATAAAGAAACTTCCCTAGGGAAGCCAAAATGCTGAAAGCACTGGGTTTCAAAGAATTTCAGTAAAACTCTGTTTGGCAGCAGAGATGTAGGAAGAGTACCACTTAAGAGATGAGAGGCTGTTAAAACCTGTGCAAGTGTTGAAGTGCCAGTTCCCCAGTGCTCTGTTAGAGGTGATGCCTTATTTTGTTGGTCTGAATTCTAGAAAAGGAGCAGAGAGGAGTGCCACAGTAATAAATAGGTATGACTTTTGTAAGTCAAACCAATGCCCGAGTTTAGCCCTGTGTAAAATACTAGAGTGAAGGGATTCTGTGTGGTGAAACTGGGGGAAGAAATCCTAGGAGTTTTACGAGAGGAACAGAGCACGGGGCCCAGGGAGACATGGTGTGTGGATATGGGAGGCGGGGAGATGTGGGTCCTGCCTGGGATATAGCAGGCTAACGGTATACTTTGTATCAGAGGAACACAGAGGTCGACAAAGCACAGTGCTGTATTTCTCCCCCTGGAAACTTGGAGAGAGGAGGACAGGAAAGATATAGGAGAGTAGACTTTTTTTTTTTTTCCAGGAAAGCTCACTGTAGGGAGATGAAAGAAGGACAAAGAGGTCCTCTCTATCTGATCATTGGTTTTAAGGTTATCAGGAACACTCAGAGCCGCTGCAATTCAAAGGCTTTGACCCCCATAGCCTTTGTGTTTATCTGAGCCCCAGAGTTTATCTGGGGGACTTGCCAGTGTCTGGACTGTGCCAAAGACTCAAGGGTCTCAAGAATTCTATGTGTGGCCTCTTAGTGTTCTTATCTCAGCAGCTAGACCTGCCTGATGCTTTGTCCTAGGTAATGACAGAATAAATATTTATAAAATTGAATTGTTACTAGCCCGCAGTTACCATTTCCTCCCAGAAAGAGTAAACCTTACGTGAGTTTGTTTTGATTTCATCTACAAACCACAACTTTCTAAACCTTTCTTTTCGTGACGCTCCTTTTTCCACAGTTGCATAGACTCCTTTCGGTGGAAAAAAAAAAGTGGATAATTCCCAGTTTTCCCAAGTGATACTGTTTTCCTCTTTCAGGTGAATTAAGCTCACAATGTTAATCAGGTGTTTATGATAAGATGCTGGGTGAAGCTGAAGCAATCTGCTACAAGTTACAGCCCATCACCACCAGAAATGTTTAGAATACTTATTGTTGGATGGATTTACTTTCTTTTAAATTTCACTCAAAACAATTGGACCAGGGCCTGAGGAAAACTAGGCAACTAATGTAATGTTGGCAGGTCGTGAAAGGGGAGGAAGGCAAGTTGGCCAGATAGCATCTCATCACATTCACTCCCTGCAGGTTTGACAAACATGATTTGACCTGCATAAAATCTTGGTTCTTGTGATGCTTTAGTCATGGATAAAGCTCTGCCACATTCTCTGTGTTTGGTTTTCCAGTGGCTTTTCAGTCATTCTGCTTACACACCTTTCAGGGAGTTTATTGCTGTTCTGCTGTTAGAATCCAACCCCAGCCCACCGACCTGCTGCCACCTCTTGACTCTCAGGAAGCTGGAGATGTAGATCGGGGTGGAAAATAGTCGTGAAAGGATATCCTCAGTTCTCTAGAAACTGGACTTGGTTAGAGGAGCCACATCTAAGGACGCATGCGTTTGGAGGGCAAAGACGAAGTGACTAGAATTTAACTTAACCCCAGAAGTTCCCTCAACCTCTGGACCTGCGAGCCCCCGTGAGAACAGCTAGAGGGGTTCTTTTTTTTTTCTTCTTGGTAGCTAGTTGCTTTAGAGTGTTATGGTGGTCTCTGCCATATATCAACTTGAATCAGTCATAACTGTGTGTGTATACATATATATACACACACATATATATATTCCCTCCCTCTTGAGCCTCCCTCCCCCGACCCATTCCACCCCCCAGGTCATCACAGAACACCAGGCTGGTCTCCCTATGTTACACAGCAGCTTCCACTAGTTATCCATTTTACACATGGTAGTGTATAATGTCAATGCTACTGTTCAATTTGTCCTACTCTCTCCTTCCTCCACTGTGTTCACCAGACCATTCTCTATGCCTGTGTCTCCATCCTTCTCTGTAAATAGGTTCATCAGTACTGTTTTTGTAGATTCCATATATATGCATTAGTATACAATGTTTGCTTTTTTCTTTCTGACTGACTACCCTCTATATAACAGGCTCTAGGTTCATCCACCTCACTATAACTGACTCAATTTCTTTCTTTTTTTATGGTTGAGTAATATTCCATCATATATATATACCACAACTTCTTTAGCCATTCATCTGTTGATGGACATCGATTGCTTCCATGTCCTGGCTATTGTAAACAATGCTGCGATGAACATTGGGGTACCTGTGTCTTTCAGAATTGTGGTTTTCTCAGGGCATATGACCAGTAGTGGGATTGCTAGATCATATAGTAGTTTTATTCTTAATTTGTTAAGGAATCTCCATACTGTTTTCCACAGTGGCTGTACCAATTTACATTCCACCAGCAGTGCTGGGGGATTCTGATAGTGCTGGAGACAAAGACAAACTTAGAGACCTCTGGACCCAGCTGCCAAGCAGAAGACTCTAGAGTGAGGACGTCACAAGCTGCTAGTTAGTGTCACTGTGTTGGTGGAGGCACAGAAGACATCTCTGATGTACTCACCATGTGAGCTGGGCGGGTTGCTTTCTCTGAGCTTCCTGTTCCCAACTGCAAGACTGGTGGGATCAACCACAACCCCGCCTCTCTGTGTAAGACTTTTGCAAGTGATCCATGAGATGGCAAATGTAAAACTCCCTAGCGCCCTGCTGGCTCAGAGTAAATACTCAGTAAAGGTTTGTTCCATGTGTCCTGCCAAAAAAAAGTGAAAGGTGTGAGTAAGGGAGGTTGGGGCTTTAAGCTCTCAGTGTATCTGATTCTGACTGCCCAGCACAGCCTACCACCCTCCTCCGCCCACTCCACCAACTTTTCTATGTCCCATTTCTGAACTATTCTTTTTTTTTTTACATTGTTTTTATAGAAAAAATTATTTTTAAATGCTAATCATGTAACATTTTCCATCACGGAAGTGGTTTATATTTGCAAGACTCACTTGAGGTTGGACTTTTTCTTTTTTGGGGTTTGGGCTATTCTTCATGTTTACTCATTGAGCAGACTTATGTGAATCCCCAAAAGCACAAAAGCAAAGGGAATCATCTCCAGGGATGGGATTCTTACCACTAAGGTGGGCTGTGGGGAAGGGCAGCCTCCTTTGGGCCCTATTTTAAGGCCCTGGTCACTGAGCCCACTTTCTGTGACAGCCAGCAGCCTCAACCTGAACAGATTACTCCCTGATGCCAGAGCCAGCAACCTGAGTGGGGCCGTGGCCCCTGACTTTACCTCAACCAAGCCCAATAGATCCCCTTTTGTCTACATGCCTCACCTTCCATTTCCCATGTAGGCAGCCTTCCTCACGTGTTGATGTTTGTGTTTGATTTCTATGTGTGCTTGTAGAACCTTTGTTATAGTTTCAGTTGCTTATCCTTTTAAGTTATGCAACTCACTCTGTTACTCGGCGCATTGTTTCTTCTGTCCTGAGCTGGTCCTGCTGAGGGTTTGTTGGTGTCTTTCCGTGTCTACCATGTACACGCACTGTGCCTCATGCTCCATGAAGACCTCCCCACATTTTAGCTGTTGCTCCCCTTTGATGGGTTTGGACATGGTACACATCATGCTGCAGTTCCACAAATGTACTGCCCCAAATAGCCTCCTGCAGGTCCCACCTGTGAGACTTTGTTTAGGATCCATACCCATGGGCAGGATTGCTGGGCACAAGGATGTGTACAGTTACTCAAGAACTGACCACCAGCTGACTTTCCTGGGGCCTTCTATTCACCCCACCTGCTCCCAGGCAGATATGAGTCCCACACACACACATCCTTACCCCTACTTTGCATCATTCTCCAGCTTTCCAAGAGGTGTAAAATGATATCTCACTATCTGAGCTTGTGTTTTTCTTTTCTTTTCTTTTTTTTTTTTTAAGTCCCAGGCTTGCTTCTTTAAGAACCAAGTGATGAGTGATGTGGGGATTAAAGTCAAGAGCATCACTGAACTTCACCTTCCCTCCAACCGGTTTCCCCAAACTCCCTGCCCCCACACCCATTGTGTTCCCAATTCCTTTCTTAGTGAATGAAAAACTTAATCCCAAAGCCCTGGCACAAACTCCAGGGTTCTCTCCCTAGCTCTCCCCTTCGTCTGCCCCCCATTCCTGGGGTGAGCAGGCACCTCAGTTTGAATGCATAGGAGAGCCCAGAGCGGTGACAGACACCGAGGGAAAGGCCTCACCCTCAGGGAATGGGACCGAAGAGTACAGTGTAGTGAAGTGAGGGCCCCCGTAGCCTGGGGTACCAAAATGGGGCCCTGGCACCAGAGGAAAGGATACGGGTCCCCCCGCGAAAGGAGACCCAGCAGCCTCAAAATCCTCTCGTTGGGAGTAGTCACTGCTTGATCGTTTGCCCTTCTGGCGACGGTTGCAGAACCACACTCGGACCACGTCCTTCTCCAGCCCGAGCTGCTGGGCGATGTGGCTAATTTGCTGCAGGGTGGGCTTCGGGCACTGCAGGAACATGCTCTCCAGGTTGCCTCCCACTCGGTTCTCGATACTCGTCCGCTTTCTCTTCCGGGCCTGCACAAGGGTCTCTGCCTTGCATATCTCCTGCAGATCTCGTTGTTAGCTTCCTCCACCCACTTCTGCAGCAGGGGCCGCGGCTTACACATGTTCTTGAAACTGAGCTGCAAAGCCTCAAAACGGCAGATAGTCGTTTGGCTGAACACCTTTCCAAAGAGAACCCCCAGGGTGAGCCCCACATAGGCCTGGGTATATCCTAGGGTGATCCTCTCCTGCTTTAGGAGCTTGGCAAATTGTTCAAGGTCTTTCTGAAGAGCTTTGATGTGCTGGGACTCCTCAGGGTTCGGCTCCAGCTTCGCGGCGCCTGTCGGGACGGCGCAGGGGTCCGGGGAGGCCCCCTCAGAGTTGCTCTCCACCCCGGCTCCTGCCTCGCCCTCGGGTTGAGGCGTCTCCAGGCCTCCTGGGGGCACGGGCCCCACTCCAACCTGCGGCACACAGTAGGCCATCCCTCCGCACAAGTCATAGGGCGGGCGGCACGGAGGAAGCCCCCACACCTAGGCGCTGGGCACAACCCCCGGCCCGATCCCCGACCCACCGGGAGGCCCTTGAAAGCTCATCCAGGTCCGAGGATCAACCCAGCCCGGCTCTGACCCTCCCGGCGGGGGCGAGAAGGCGAAGTCAGAAGCAAGATGTCCCGCCATGGGGAAGGAAGGCACCCCGACCTGGGGGCCTAGGAAAACGAGGGATCTCCTAGAGACTGCTCAACACCTCTCCGTGTTTTTCTAATAATTAGTAAAATTAATATGTTCGTTAACTTTATGGGTTTCCTCTGCCCTAACTGCATGTTCACATGCTTTGCTCTTTCTTTATAAATTAGGTTTGCTCTAGTTTTCTTACTTTTCAAGAGTTCTAAGTATTGATCCATAATCAATTTTATTTTTTCTAATTTTTTTTTGGCCTTGCCATGCAGCATGTGGGATCTTAGTTCCCCAACCAGAGATCGAACCTGTGGCCTGTGCAATGGAAGCACACAGGACCTCAGAGGAAGTCCCTGCAATCAGTTTGAGGCATTGATGTTTCCTCCTCCAGGGGATCTTCCCAACCCAGGGACTGAACCTAGTTCTCCTGTGTTGCAGGTGGATTCTTTACCATTTTTAGATCTATTAATTTTGTCCGTAGCATTGTCAACTTGTTTTATTGGGTGGGATTTTTAGGACATTAGGCCCAGGCCTGGGAGAGAGCATCTCAAGTGACCCTGAGAGAACTGCCTCAAGGAGGCAAGGGGAGGAGCCTGGTTATATAGTTTTGCAACAGACGGTAGATAGTCTGAACATCAAAAGAGTTATATTAGTTAAAGAAAACTAGATATCCCAAGTCAAGGATTGTAGTGCTTTTCTATGTATGGGAAGTTGCCAGAGTCTGGCTCACTGAAATCTCTCCTTTGATGTGTACCTCTGATATCTGGGGCCAGTATCCTGTGTTTTCATATCCTGATCTTCCTCAAGGTTCACCCTACGGAATGGCTGCAGTCTGATGGCTGCTAGATAGCAGGTATTCATCTCCTTCTCGAATTCCCTTAGGGCCCCCCACATTGAGGGCTGCCATCTCTGATGACTGTGACATCCTTGTTTACTGATATGGCAGAAGATACTCCATTTTTTAGTGTCTTTTCATTGAGCAGAAATCCTCCACTTGGTGTAATCAAATTAATTTTTGTTTTTTTGGCTTATGGTTTGTGCTCTTGAAATGTTACATAAGATTTTGGTAATCTGAAGCTTGTCACCCCAGCACTCATCACTGGAATTCAGACGTGAGTACTGTTCTCCCTGCCTTTGAGAGACGGTGAATCTATAACGGCGAGTATGCCATCCAGCTCTTTGAGCCATCAATTCCTCATCTGTAAAGTCTGAGGGTCCTCACATCTCTAAGCCAATGGCATCCTGAGAAATATTTTGATTCCATTTCAATTCAGTGAAGGGACAGGAGAATGCAGCAAAGGTGCAGAAGCAGGAATCTGTAAGATGGACCAGCCTGGACCAGAGCGAGGTGGCAGGAATCAGGAGAGATGGGATCGCATGCAACTTACAGGCCACCCTGAAAAGTGTGGGCTCTGCTCTATTGTCATGGGTAGCCACTGGAGGTGTCTGAGTGGAGGAATTGTGGTTAATAAAATTTATATATTCTGTCTTTGTCTACAGTTCCTGGCACATAGCTCCCCAAACTCTTGGGGATACGTGATCAGTATCTTCTATATGTCAATGAGATGATTGATGGCTGGAGACTCCTAGGCAGCTTCAGAGTGAGAGCTGGTGGCCAGAAAGACTCCAGGATTAGAGAATAGGAACTATTAACCTCTGGGGAGAGGCAGGGACCCAGAGACTGAGTTAATCACCAGCAGTCAGGGATTTGATCAATTATGTCAATGTGATGAAACCGTCATAAAAAGTCCTAAATGGTGAACACACTGAAGTGTGGCAAGGTGATGTGCCCAGAGAGAGCAGGGAAGCCCTGTGTACCCTTCTGCTTGCACCCCTTGCCCCATGCATGTCTTCCATTTGGCTGTTACTGAGTTGCAGCCTTTATAGTACACCAGTAACCGTAAAAGCAAAGTACTTTCCTGAGTTCTGTGCATTTTCCTAGCAAATTATCAAAACTGTGTAGGGTCTTATGGGAATCCCTGATTTACAGCTGATGTATTACAAGTGACCCAAGACTTGCAACTGGCATCTGAAGTGGGGGCAGATGTGGCTCTGAACCCAGGATCTGTGATCTGATGTTCACTCCTGGTAGACAGTGTGTGTGTGCTAAGTCGCTTCAGTTGTGTCCTACTCTTTGCAACCCCATTACTAAAGCCCTCTGGGCTCCTCTGTCCATGGGGTTCTCCAGGCAAGAATACTGGAGTGGGTTTTACTGGAGGGGATCTTCCCAACCCAGGGATCGAACCCATGTCTCTTGAGTCTCCTGCATTGGCAGGTGGTTTCTTTACCGCTAACACCACCTAGGAAGCCCCAGGTAGATAGAGTCAGCATGGAATTGAATTGTTGGACACCCAGTTAGTAACTTCAGAGACCTGAACAATTAGCTGATATGAGAAAACACTTCTCAGCCACAGAGGGAAATCACAGTTTAGGAAGAATGAATAGAAATAGATGGGAGGGCAAAATACCGGAAAAGAGGAAGGGAGAAGGGGCTGGACAGCATAATCCAGTGGAGAGGTGATGAGCACAGACTGTAACTGGGCAAAGAGCTCGTGTGCCTGCAGCACAGAAAGCTGAAGTCTTAGCAGCAGACATTGGCAGCAAATAAGTGTTTATTGCAGGGCACTGAGCAAGGAAGTAAGAGGGAGCCTCAGATCCACTCCCATTTGGACTTTGAGTTGAGGGTGTTTTTAAAGGGAAAGAACAAAGAAACTGGAATTAATCATCATTTTGTGACGTTTGTTAGTCACAGTTTCGGGAGCCAGTAAGTCTCTGGTTTAGGATTCTCAAGCCAGGTAGTCTGTGACTTGGGGGCCTAGCAGAACAACCTGAAATTGTATGTTAATGATGAAATCTACAACAGTGGTTCCTCCAATTCTGGTTGATTACTGTTCTGTTAGCCCATGGTTGAGGTCGGAGGGGACAGGAAGGGAATCAAGTTTTCAATAGATTTATCATTAACTTGGAAGGAAACTCGGTTTTAGGGGCACTCCAGGTCAGAACTATGGTGATGGGGAAAGAAAGGCTGAATCCACCAGGGCCATTTTCAGTAGGTAGGCAGCATGGCACAGGGTTAGGAGGGTGAATTCGGGATAACTATCTGAGATCAGGTCCCCTCCCTGCCACTTAAAATCTATGTAGTGTGAGCAGGTTCTTGAATCTCCTGGAGGCTTTCTTTGCACAGGTGTGAGGCGGGTGTGGTCGTGGTTGTCTCCTCACAGGTTGTTGTAGGGTTTAAAGGAGATGACGGGGACTTCCCTGGTGGTGCAGTGGCTAAACCTCCACTCTCCCAGTGCGGCAGACCCGGGTTGGATCCTTGGTCAGGGAACTAGATCCCACATGCCACAACTAAAGATCCTGCATGCTACAACAAAGATTCAGCACAGCCAAATAAATAAATATTTTTTAAAAGAATTTTAAAGGAGATGATAATGTGTGTAAAGTTCTTTGCACGGTGCCAGCTACCATCAGGGGTCAGTAAGTGCTCACCTTCTGTTGGCAGAGGTGGCTCAGAAGGAGCTTATAATCAAAAGATGACTAAGAGGGTTCAAGCCCGGGACACAGGGCGAGTCTGCAGTGTTTGACACTGCATCTCAAGAGTGCAGAGGTGTAGTAAGATTACCCCTTGACAGCTGAAGCCTCCTATTTCCAGGCTTTTCCTGACTTAGTGGACACGCTTGTGCCCATGGGGTTGTGGCAGACAGAAGCAGTAGAAAGAGATCTGGACAGGACCTCAGGATACCCAGGTTTTACTTCTTGGCTTTTCCAGCTCCTAGCTGTGTGAGTTTGGGCAGTGGATTCCTCATCTATGAAACAAGGGATTTGGAGGGGTGGCCTGCCCATGTTGTTTCCCAGTGCCTCAGGCCCTGCCCAGCTGTATGTCTTGCTTCTAATCTACCAACACAGCTCAACTGGTCCCAGGACTTAATAGTACTCATGGGTCTAAGTTGGCCTGACAACTCTTGTTTCTCCTCCACAGTTCCTTTCATAGAAGCTATTTCCTTATGGAGAGATGGCATGGGTCTTCCCCCAGGTACCTCCAGGTGGCTACTGCTTCCAAAGAGGTTCCCAGGATTTTAGATGGAGGGTTATCCTTTTGTAATAGAAAATGATGGCCAAAACGGGAGGGGGATGAGCCCAGTTTCAAGCCTGTTCTCTGTGATGTTTACTTACTCTTTCAGTTTACAGATATTCACTAGGGGCTTTCCTGGTGGCTCAGATGGTAAAGAATCCACCTGCAGTGCAAGAGACCTGGGTTCAATCCCTGGGTTGGGAAGATCCCCTGGAGAAGGGAATGGTACCCACTCCAGTATTCTGGCCTGGAGCATTCCATGGACAGAGGAGCCTGGCAGGCTACAGTACATGGGGTCACAAGAGTCGGACATAACTTGGCGACTAAACAACCAAGTCTGTGCCAGACTCTGTGCCAGACTATGTTACTTTGGACAGTAAACAAGACCTGCCAGAGTGAAACTTATTGTTCAGTGAGGGGATCGTGCCCATCTGACCCCTTCTTAACCACAGAGAGGCTGCTTAAGACCTATGAAGGAGGGTGAGCAGTGAGAAGCAAAGCAAAGATGACTGAAATTCTAACACCTGTGCACGAGGATTCTCCAACTACAGATCCCATCTTCTGCAGAAGACGATGCTCAGGTGCCACAAGTGTCCAGATCGACAGTGGGTGTGTTTCCCCTCCTCCCAGAAAAGCAACCCCTAAGCAAAGAGAAGTCACCTGGTATTCAAGTGCTTCCAGAGTCTCTCACATCAAGGAACCAGAGTTACTTTATTGTTGATAACAAAGTCACCTGGTATTCAAGTGCTTCCAGAGTCTCTCATATCAAGGAACCAGAGTTACTTTATCTTCAATAAAAAAGCAGCGTGTTCTGGGGAGACTGATTAGTAGTGCTGGTTTGGAAAGCTTGAGAGAGAGATCTGATGGCAGGGTTTTGTTGTTGTGTTTTGCTTGAGCGTAGAAAGCTGGCGGTCATTCCTGGAGCTCAGAC